GTTATGCGATGCATATTATTTTCTAAAAAAACACATCGTTATGCGAATTCATCGCTAAACGAGGCAATCGTTAAGCGAGGCACCACTGTAGTTTTCTACCTTGAAACCTTAATTTAGGAAATGCTGTATAGGTTGGAAACCTCTTAAGTTATAAATATACTGGCACCACAGAGAGGCAGGGAAAATACAGCCTGCAGCTTTACACCATGGATATGGAGGAGGGGAACTGGAATAGTCTCTCTCTCTCTCTCTCTCTCTCTCTCTCTCTTTCATGAGAAACAAACAAAATGAAGCAAAACATTCAGAAATTTCTTTTAAGTACTTTAGAAAAGTAGTAGCATCTATGTAAGCTTTATATATACCGTATTTTTCCATGTATAAAATGACACTTTTTCGTTAAATAATTTGAGAAAAAAATTGAAGGTCGTTTTATTCATGGAAGGCAGCTGTTTACCACTGCCTTTTGCGAAGGCACGGAGCCTAGCTAAAAGGAAGGGGAGGCATTGCTCCCTTCCTTTTTGCTAAGCTCTGTGCCTTCTCAAAAGGCAAGGAAAAGCGGCAGTCACTTTGACAGCCGCTTTCCTTGCCTTTTGCCAAGGCACGGGGCTTAGCAAAAAGGGAGCCCTTTGATCCCTGCTTTTTCTAATTTGGGGTTAGAAGGGGGGTTCATACATTGGGTCATCTTATAAACGGAAAAATACAGCACTATTGAGAGCTCTCCTCACTAGCAAACATGTCCAGAATTAAAAAGTACACATCTGGGGTTTGCGCTTGACAGCCAGAGTGATACATGCATTAATCACCACACAGAAAAACATTCCTCCAGTGAGCAGGGAAATTCTGTAGTCATGGGCCAAAGTAGATGTGACATGGGAAACTACGCTTCGATGAGAACTACTATAGACCTACTGTCCTGCTGGGTTCCCATCAATGAGAGAGCACCAGCATTTACCATTATTCTATAGACTTCATAAGAGCACTCTGAAAAATCTAAAACTCCAGGGTGTAAATTCACCCCAAAGCTGCTCTGAATCTTCCAGTTCGAGGGTGAGGCAGAGGGCTGGGGATGACTTCAGATGTTGAATATTCAAATGTGCCCACCATTTACCTTTCCAGACTTCAGAGTGATGAAATGGAATCAAAACCATGAGGTCAAGTAGGGGGTCCAGGATTCTGTCTGTCGGATTGGGGCAGATCTATGATCAGAGTTCTGCCTCTGGGCGTGGAGAACCAGAATGCTATTGCAAGGTTGATTGGATCCCATTGGGTACTGAATTTGCCCATTTTTGCTAAAATACTGAGAAGTAGGACCACTCAAGAACTAGTGGAGGGATCTTAGTATTGAATGTACACATTTAAAACATTGTAAAAAGCATCTGCCGGGGAGGTCGATATATATCAGGACTTTAGCAGGCAGTGGGAATTTTTAGCAGCTCCCTGGCTTGCCATGGACTAGGTGAAAACTGGTCTTCTAAGGCTTTCATTTGTATTGATAGGGAATCCCAGCAGTTATTAATACCTAGTTCTTTCTCTATCTCCTGCAGCCTGGAAAAGACAGCCGCCTATTGCCCTTCATGGTGGTGGTCCGTGTGGTCTTCATTCCCCTCTTCATGCTGTGTAATGTGCAGCCGCGCAAGAACCTGCCGGTCATGTTTGCCCATGATGCTTGGTACATTGTCTTCATGATCTTCTTCGCCATCTCCAATGGCTACCTGGCCAGCCTCTGTATGTGCTTTGGACCCAAGTGAGTATCATTGGAGGAGAGGACACCAGTGAGCAAAAGTCCAGCTTGAGCTCTTCTCACCAAACTTCTCCTTTTCCCACTTGATGCATAAGCATGGGCCTTTTGTGAGGGGTGGTGATAATTGATGGAACAAGGCACTAGTCTCACCAGGCTGCTGCATTGGTCCACAGCCCTTTCCTTTTGGTTATCCACATGTGCAGAGGATTCTACACAGTGTGTGTCCATCCATAGTGTCTAACCACACAATAAAACCCATGTTAGGTGCCTTTTCAGAATCTAGAGTGTTCTAAGTGAAGATGGCTTCCATTCTTCTGAATTTGCCTCTGAAGTTCCTTCCAGAGTAAAGTCTACTCAATATATTCCCACATCCATATTCTTCAAAAAGCTAGTCCTTAAATTTTCTGTGAGAGAGAATCTATATGGTTTAAAGGCTTAAACATTTTTTTCTCTCTATCTTGACCTTGCCATTACTTATGGAAAATGTCAGGATCCTCCTTATTTTACAGGAGAAACAAAGAGAAGACCATAAGAAATTTTCCCCATGTCCATAACTCCCAGAACTTCTGAGCATAAGCTTCCTCTAAACTTTGCTTCACGTCAGTCTCCCTCCTGTCCCACTCTTCAGTTGGACAGACCTATGAATACAAAAAGCACATGTGAAAATGAAAAACAGGTGCAGTTAAGGAACCTTGGCTTAATAGAATGGGGTAAGCAGAAAGTAGATGGCATCTTCTTGTAGCCCTTTGGATGATTCCAGGAGATTGGCAAGGGTTGCCAATTATCTGAGAAGTTCTTTTCTGTCTAAATTTAGTTACAGAAGAAGGAACATCAGGTGGAGCAGATTAAGAGTGGATTTTCGCATAAAAAGACTTGTAGACTTCATATTAAAAAATTCCTGATCATTTGCTTGGAGGCACCTTCTTCCTTGACTACAAAGACTGTTCCTAAATTCTTAGAATTCATATATTCTGCAGTATTAAAGTCCCTGTTAGAGAAGTTATCATTGAAACTACTAATCCTTGATAAATACAGTGGTGCCTCGACTTACGAACACCCCTACATACAAACAGTTCAACTTTGCGAACAGCTCTGTTCACTAAATTTTGCTTCGACTTGCGAACGGAGCTTCGACTTACGAACAAAAAAACCATGAAAAAAAGTGGGAAATAGACTTTGTACTGCCGGGTACCGTAATTTTAAAATGTAAAAATTGGTTTAAAAGGTGCTTGGTTTTAAAGGTGTTTTGTTTAAAAGGTGTTTGTTCCCTCCTTCCTTTCTTGCCCTTTTTTTAACCTTAGGTCATCTTAGGTTAAAAAAAATCTCCCCCTAGTGGTAGACAATGGATTAACCAGTTTTGCATTAGTTCCTATGGGAATGAATGCTTCGAACGGCGTCTCAACATAAGAACAAAAAACAGCAGGAACGGATTAATCAGTTTTCAATGCATTCCTATGGGAAATGCTGATTCGATTTATGAACACCATTCCGGAACAGATTAAGTTTGTAAGTCGAGGCACCACTCTATGTTTACAAACATGTTGTAGATGTGTACTCAGCTGACTCTGAAACCTTGGACAGAGGTGCAGCACATATTAGGTTGAATCCCTTGTTTTTTTTGGATGGTAACTTCCGAAACACTTTCACAGCTTAAATGTAGAGAATATACATTCATTTTGCCACTGTTCTTAACAGAAGAAAATAGTGTTAGTTAGTGCATTGCCTGCATAGCATGAGTAAATGGCAACCACATGTATTTTGGACCCTTGCCCAACAGCAGATATGCTGTGCTTCTAAAAAGGAGAGGGAAATTGGCGGCGGGGGGGAGAGAGAGACTGTTCTTGTCTCCTAGCAGCATAAGTTCCCTTATCTTCCTGCAGGCATTTTGAGACTCTTGTCTACAACATTTTGAACAACTCCAAATATATACATTCAACCCCCCCCCCAAAAAAAGGACGGGGAGTCTTCATCTAGCCCAGTGCTAGTTATAAATGGGGGAGATGTTTTGGATCATAGCTCCCACAACCCCTGAGCATTCGCTATACCCTCTGGGCTGCGGCTAATGGGAGTGGTAGGCCAAAATATTTGCACTGTGTTACATAAAAGGAGTGCTCCTTTTGGTCTCCCTTAGTCTAGCTTGTTAGGATTAGCAAAGTGTTTTTTATTTGCAGAACGCTGTCACGGGCATGGCACTTTACCAAGTAGTATAAACAAACAAGAAACGTGTCACTGTTCCTACATGGCATGCAGTTTTAAATTTCAGAGAAGGAGGGAAAGAATATGAGGGAGTGCTCAGCTGATAGGTGACGGGTGTTTGATCCCACTGAATTGACCAGTCTTTCTTCTCCTTTCTTCCCCATATAGGAAGGTGCAGCCCCATGAAGCTGAGACTGCAGGCACCATTATGGCATTCTTCCTCTCGCTGGGCCTGGCCTTGGGAGCCATCCTTTCCTTTCCCTTAAAATATGTCATCTAATGGAGACAATCCTGGGTGCTCTTTGGTCAGAAGAGCAGAGCCAGCTCTTTAGAGGCCAGGGCACCGCTGGGAACGTCTTTGCCCACTGCCCAGGAACTCACTGGCTTAGCTGACTGGTGTGCCTCTTGGCTTGGAAGGGGGCTTCTCAACTGCTGCATAGACTGCCCAGCTCCTTTTCCTGAATGACACCCATGTCTGGCCACCGGCCCATCATTATGTCAAACCTGTCTTCCTACACCAAGATTATCTTGTGTTGCATCCCAAACTCTCATCATTCACCCTGTGTGTTTTTCTTGAGCAAAGATGGCTGAAGCCCTTCTATTCTACTTCGTTTACATTGCTGGATTCTCTCTATTGCCACATAAAAGGGATTTGCTGTTCATCAGCATCACGGGCTAGCTCAGTCCAGGCTCCTGACTCTGCTGTGGTTTGTATGGATTCACTCTGTGTGCACAACCTTCATCAGTGTCTGCTTTGCTATCGGAATGACAATCCCAACTGAAACAACTGATACATTTGACTTGGACTGCAATTCTGCCATACCCCAGCCCCCTTTCCCCCAAAGGTTTCTGCCCATGAAGAGAAATTGGTAACAGCTTCAGCTCCAATTAAGGATTCTGCCTATTTCTGATCCATAACTTATGGTTCTCTATGATTGTGAGAGAGTATATTCAAGAATATGAAGGCCTCTAACCAGTCAAGCGCCTTGAATTACTGCCCATTACCTTGCCTTTGTAAATAAGCACAATTTGCCATTTTGCAGACGGACAGAACATGCCCTGATTGCTAAACCTCCTCCATATCATCTGACACACTTCTACATGTGTTGCCACTTGATGGGAGCAAGGGATGAGCCCCCATATCTTCAAAAGAATGTATTTCTCCTAATGCTAAAGTGGCTGGGTGTCCCCCCATCTCTGTCATGCCCCCTGATTGTTCAGGGCAAAGGCCCAGTGTGCTTGCAGTTACTTTTTGGCTACTTGCTGTGTACATTCTTGCATTGTAAAACTCAGGATTTCGGCTATTGTATTTGTATTTTGTTTAAGAATGGCAATGCTTATGATTTGTTTTATTTTTTAAGAGAGAAAGCTCATAGTCCTCTTGAGTGTGGAAAAAAATGTGTATTATAAGACAAATTAAAATGGGGACTTTTTTTAAAAAAAAAAGCTTCACATTTTGACCTGATTTTATTATTAAAGTATTATGTGTTTTTCATTATGAAGGACTATTCCAGAGGATAGCTGGCTGGATAGTTCAGTGGTTTAGCTATTTGGCTGCAGAGCCAGAGACTGGGAGTTCAATTCCCCCACTGTGCCTCCTGCAAATATGGCCAGCCTGTGTGTCTGAGCAAACTGAGTCTGTCTCCAGAAGAAAAAAAAACAGTAAACCACTTCTGAGCATTCTGTACCTGAAAAACAAACTGAAATGCCAATTGTGCTATGAAAGGGGCAGCGATATTGGCGCCCTGGAAAATCCTTTTGTAGTGTGAAAAAAAGAGAGAAAACAACGTAAACCGGGGCTTTGTTTCTTATGGATTTCGGTTCGTAAACTGAAAATTACGTAAACTGAGGCGTTCGGAAACCAAGTTACTACTGTAGAAAGAACAGTAACAAGTGTGCCTGTTTAATTACTTGTTTCCCCCAAACACACACACATTCCTATTTAATACAGTATCATGCATTTAACTTCAGTTGTAGAAAAGACACTGGCAGAGTACATTTGGGGAAGAAGCAGTGGCAAAGAGAGTGCTCACCAAAGTAACAATTAGACAAAGTAAATGAGTTAGTACTGTAATCTGTTTTCTACCAGTATAGTTTCTTTCTCAATCCTTTTTCAGAGCCTTAAAATATATTGCCTGTCTCCAGTCTTCATACAGGGACCCCTTTTTCTTTTCCAGGCAGTGGTGGAGCTAAAGTGCCACCTGTTGGCCACAGCTATATACCGCAGAACCAAAGCGCCTTGTGGATAGTTTTTCTCATTTGAAGGCATACAAGATGGCATAATAATTTCCCAAATTTATACAACACATCTCTGTTACTTATCACGCCAATTAACATGTTAGTTCCATTGTGAAATAGGCTGGGCTGAAAGTTTATGAGTGTCCTAAAATCATCGACGTGGTGGCGCTAAACCGCAGAAGCCTTTGTGTGCTGCACAAAGGGGAACCTTTACCTTTACCTAAAATCATCCAATAAACCTCACTCCCAAGCAGGGATTTGAAATCAAGATTCCTCAATACTAATCTTGCACTCCAGCTGATATTTATCGATTATAAAGTTGATTTAGTATGAGATCAGATAACCTCAATCATATCAGTGATTCTCCAGGTATTGAGGTATAAGCATTTTCATTGTTTATAAATACTCCATCTCTCCACAGAGGATGAGAATAAGCCATTTTTTTCACTCATGAAGAAGAAAGTCTTCCTAGACATCCTTGTTATGAAACCTTTATTGTGAGGTGCAGGTTATTCGCATGTATTTTTCAGTTCTGCTGGCAGCTTGATTCTGATTTCTCACTTAGACTCATGTACTGCTTCGTACAGTGTCCAGCAACAATCTCCCTTTCAGATTTATTGTCACATGATGACATACCCCAAAAAATTGTCTAAGAAAGCTTAACTGATTTATCATAGCCTGATTTTCCACATACTACAGCCAATAGCCTATTTCAACACTATGTACACAACAGAGATGGTGGAGTGCACACATTTATATTTCTGTAACATGGATACTAAATGTTAATATGGTTCACAAGCCAATGAAGTGTTCGCTTCATGGTGATCTTTTCATAGAACATACCCCCCTCCTGCAGGCACTCAAGCGTGGTTGTCATATTGCCATGGATTGCTTGCTCCACATGTCAGGTCATCTGCTTGGTAGAAGGAAAGGGGATTCTTGCTTCTTTATTATGGAAAAAAAATCCTTTTGGTATAATTAAACTCAAGGCATTAAACTCAAAGAGTGCTGTGCCATTTAAAAATCTATGGCGTTACCTACTCAGACCAATCTCTCTCCTATGACACTTATACAAAGTGTTTGAACAAATGTTATCAAACTATCTGGCCCCTAAAATTAAACCACTTCTAATTCCAGAACAGGCAAGCTTTAAGACCTGGCAAAAGCTGTATGGCTCATATCTTAAATCTAATCCAGCATATAGAAAATGGCTTAGAAAGAAATCAAAATAACTACATTTCAAATGAGAGGAAATATGATTCAGGGGGTCCCACAGCATCAAGCATGCATGTTAATACTTGTGAAATCTCATCTTGGGGAGTATACTAAACTATTCAAGAGTCTGTCTGAAAAGAAGAGCTTTGACATGGTAATTCATGGTCTTTGCACATCTAGTTTCCTTTTCTCTGGAAACTATAGAACTATGAATATACATGCATGTTAATACTTGTGAAATCTCATCCTATGAATATCATAAATGAATTCACTGACAAGAAATCAAATAGCTTTTATTGCACATTTGCTACAAATTTCTGCTGAAAGTGGCAGTCAGTCCTGGAAATACTGTTATGTCTTTGACACTGAACACCAAGTTATTTTCCCCAGCAGAGGGCCTGCACTACCAACAGATGAAAAAACAGTATTTTCGGGAAGTATGCTAACTCTTTCAAATGTTATCAAGGGGTTTCACAGTACTTGCCTCATTTTTGGGCATGCTGAGAAATTGCATGTCAGATTTTCCTCTTACATGTTTGACATTAAAATCACTAGCAGATCCACCATTCATTATCAGTTTGCTCCCAGGAAATCTGGACTGGAATGTCCCATGACATCTACAGTGGTGCCTCGACTTATGAATGTCCCGACATACGACCATTTCGAGTTATGACCAGCTCCGGCCACAAGATTTTACTTCCACTTGCGGCCGGAGCTTCGAGTTACAACCAAAAAAAGGCAGGGAAAAAAGGTGGAGAATTCAAATTGCTAACTGATGGTAGGCGAAGAGGCTGCTTCTTTGTAGCTATTTCGCCCCAAGGTTAGAGTGATTGGGATCAGAGGAGGCTTCGGACTGCCTGGTAAGGTAATGTGCTGCTTTCTGCTTTTTAAAAAATGTTCTGGGTGGGTTTTGCAGTGTGGTTTGGGGCTAGGTGGTGGGATTATGTTTCTATGCTGTGATGGGCCTTGGGAGATTTATTTGTTGGGTTTTTTCCCCGGTTTCCTATGAGGCTTGGGGGGGGTTGCTTTTGGGTTGTTCCCCCATTTCTGATGGGTCTTGCGAGGTTTGGTTGCTTTTTGCTTTGCTTTTCTTGCATTTCTGATGGGTCTTGCACGGTTTGTTTGCTTTTTGCCCCCCCCTTTGGCTGGAACAGATTAATCGTGTTTCCGATGGGTCTTGCAGTGGGGTTTTTTTCCGGTCAGAATGGGTTACAGTAATTGAATTTCAATGCATTCCTATGGGAAATGGTGCTTCAATTTATGACCATTTGGAGTTACAACCATCTTCTGGAATGGATTAAGTTCATAAGTCGAGGCACCACTGTATGTAGTTTTACATCTAAAGCCCAAAACATATGTGACTTGATAGGTGCTGGCTATAGTCCAAGTTATCAATGATTTTCATGTCCTGACAAAAAATTCACCTATTGGTGAGTTTCATGCCTGCCAGGATTTTGGGTTCACAGTCCCATGGAGCCAGCAGAAATGGCAAGACTGCTGCCTACCACACCCAACCCAAGTTCCAGAAGGCACTTCTGCAATTGCTGTGATGGAAAGGAGGAGCGGGAATATTAAAGAACTATTTATTTACTGCATCTCTACAAAAGAATCACTGGATTGCAGAGGTGGAAGACTGCAAAGGCTGAAGCAGGAATTCCACACCTGCAGCTTCCCCAACATGTGGCCATGTAGCCTCTCTTGAAAAGGCTCCAATGTCCTTTTTTTCTCCAAAACTTAACCCAAAAGAAATCACTCTCCCTTAAAGGCGGCACAGTACTTTAGTCATTGGATTTGCCTTGCCTGTCTTTGAACTACAGTATTAGGTAGTTACTTCTCCCAGTTCCATAGAATCTTTTGACTCTCCTTTCTGTGCCTTCATCCAAGTAACTTATAAATACTTGGATTACTGTTGGACCCAGGAAAGCCCCCTCCAGCACCCTTCTTGGGGCTTCTCTCCAGGGTGAGGAGGAACCTGTGAAGAAGAGCACCCTGTGTGCAGGATCAGTCAAGCAGCATCACCTGCAGGACCCAACGGCATAAAATCTACACGTGCAAAAGTATTAATAACGATTCCTGTGCATTTCAGTAGCAAGGCAGGATTTCTCACTATAGAGGGGAAGAGCATGACGTACGCCTGCTCCGTCCGGGGCAAGGCCAAGACACACACCCCCGACTCTGCCTTGGGGGGTTCATTTTTTTTGACTCTTTCAAAATAAAAGAACAGGGCCGCTTGGATGTAGGGCAGCTTCGGCGAGAGAGGGCACCCTGCCCTGGCAGCCTTTCCAACGGAAGAGGGCCCCGCATACAACAGGCCACATGGTCACTCGACTCGACTTTGCGGGGAGGGGGGGCAGGTAAAGGGGATGGGTCTGTTGCGGCGCTTGGGGTTCCTCCGGCCGGCGCGGGAAGGCAGGCGCGAGAGGAAAGGAAGTCAGAGCCCCTGCGAAAAGCCACAAGGAGGAGGGGCCAAGAGCCGTGGAAGCTACTGGAAGGAAACCGCACCACCGACCGACCGCCATCTCCCTCCGCTTCCACACGAAGACCCTCTGCAAATAGTCCTCGCAAGCCGCCGCGTTGGTGGGCGCCGCTCAGATTCAGCCCCCGGCCGGTCTCGCTCGTGCTCTCGCGGGGGGGGGGGGGGGAGGTGGGGGGCACCCCGGGGGG